CGCCGCTTCCAGATTAAGATGCATCGGCTCTTTAGGCTCTTCAGTTAATGCATCCGACTCTGGGTGGGGCTCCCCGGGGACGCCCGGCCTGAGATAAGACTGCGAGCCCTCCCCCACCCCCTTAATGTTCCCGTGGAATGGGTCCCTCGGCAATTATGTCCAAGACTTGGGGGGTATTTGCGGAGAAGTGAGTCGGCGCGCGGCGGCGCAGAAACCGTGGCGACCGGAGCGGGACAGACGGGAACGGGGTGGCACGTGGCGCGGGGGGCGGAGTGGAGAGGAGGGGTGACCGACGCGGCGGGGCGCGGGTTGAGACGTGAAGGGCGGAGCTGTCAAGCGCCGGAGAGATGAGGGTGGTGGGCGACAGAAGACGCTTCGGGTGAGGGAGGGGCAGGGGGAGGCAGAGGGCGAGAAGGCGAAAGGCAAAATGAGAGCGAAAACTAAACGGGCCGTTGGTAAGCGAGAGCAAGAAGCGTGCGTTGGAGGCGCAAGAGATTGGAAGCAGTTTTGAAGTTCCCTACAAATTCCTCTCTTTGGGAATTGGGAACGAGAAGACTAGAAGTCAAATTACTTCCGAGTTCCCAGAATTTAAAAAATATTATTCTAGAAAGTCGTCCTTAAATTACCGTGATAAAGTTTAGGTTATGATTAAAATATTAATTCATGTTTATTCTTCATGTAGATATTCATTTGGATGTGTTTTCTACTGAAAGTACACGGTCATGTGCGTTTAAACGGCAGCGTAAATACTATATTCTCGTTTGCAAGTAAAATATATGAACATATTTGCGATTATTCTATATATTAGTTCCAACACACACTCAATTAAACAATTAACAATCATAATACTTCTTTCTGTAAATTGGGTATAGCTATGTTTAATTCCAAACAAAATTAACCGCATTGCGATATAACTGAATGTCCAAGGTGCCGTAAATATTCAATTTTGTCAGAATATACACATGACAATGTACGTATCCACAGCCAAATGCTCAAACTTCTTATGACGTACAGTGGACAGTGAAAAGCAAAGCGAAGAAACGACACCGGAGTGGAGGAGGTGCAGTACGCTGCCAAACGCGAAAGGGCCAGTGGGCGGAACGGGCTTGAGAAACCAGTGTGCTGCGATTCGTGGTGGGAGGGGGTTGGGGAGCACAGAGGCGCCGTGGCATGGGGCGTCGAAACGCGTCGGAAAACGAGAGGAGACAACTTTTCCGCAGCCACCGCCGCCGCCGCCGCCGCCGCCGCCGCAGCGATGTGGAAGGCAGAGAATGCGCCCGTCAGTAAAGCGAAGGAACAACTCCATAAAAGACGCCCTCCACTTACCATGCCGCCGCCGTCGACGCAGCCGCGTTTCCTACTCGCAGAGAGGTGCTGATGGCCGCCGTACTCCGGGAACGGGAATCTAACACTGACTGTTACTAGCGCTTCCCTGAAGATGCTCGTCGATAAATACCGTTCAGAGAACTCGCCACCCGAGCAAACGAGCAACGAGAGGGCTCCCGCTCCGACACGCGCCGCTGTGCACCTTGCGGCTTCGGGCCGGCGAACAACAGGAAATGGAAGGGCAGGAAGAAAGTTCTGGTAATTTTTCTGGCACGTAGGATGCGGAGGTCAAATTGTAATGTAGTATATAAGATGATAACTTATCATTGGGAGGGAAGTATTACCTGACAAGTGACGAAGAAATGAGAGAATAACTTTCTTCAGTAGGTTGTTGTTGTTTTTTTATTCCAGCATTATAAACCAACTTTTTCGTTACATGCAATTGTTCATAAACGACATTTTACGGTACAACTTATGACATATTTTCCATATGTGGCACAATAAATTGCATCATTACACATTCAACCAATCGCAGCGAGAGAATTGTGAAGAAGTAGCGGTAAACATCCGAACGCCGTTTTTTTGTACAGATGTCAAATACCCGTAATGTCACAATAAAACTGTTTCGATAAATGAACAATGACACTAATTCTCTTATAAATTTATAATGGGGTTATATGAAAATAACGTATGCAAAACATATACTCACGAAATAACCTTAACATTATAAACTAGTTGCATAAAGTGTTATCTTTACCGATCGCTTTTATACGTTGTTACCCTACATGTATGGAATAGATTAAATGGCCCATTATTATATTCAATGTTCTCGTAATAAGCTTCCTGTATTGGATAAAATATATCTTTATTATGCCCACTTAAAAAGTAATGTATAAAGACGAAGTCAATATAACACCATTAATCATACAGGCATACCTTTAGAATTTAGCAACAGAAATATGTATCAAATACTTTAGAATATGATAAACGTTTAAAAGGATATCAGATAAGGATAAAAATGTTTTTTTAAAGAAAACGGATATTACACGTTTCTAAACACTATTACATGTTTATTAGTAATAATACAGTCGTGCAACCGTGCTCGTGAATTCAACCTACTTCTACGGAACCGTCTCTTGTATCCACTTGTAAAATATAAAACTATTATTGTCCGGGGTAATAGTTTATTTCATTGAATACGTTTTATTAAAATAGAAAATCAAAAATTGTCCTGTTCGTTTCGTTAAATTTGTAGCTTCCTGCACCACCGCAACGAGTGTGCAAGCGACGTTTTCTAAAAAAATTGTACCAGATGCGAGTGACACAGAGATACAGCAATACGTTATTAATAATTTAGAGAAACGGAACCTGGTGCATATCGCCAGACCGCATATTCTCCGCCTCTGGGTAGCGGGGTTCAAGTCCCGATCGATCTCTATGGAGTTTGTGGTGGCTCGCGCGTTCGAGTCCCGCCTCGGGCATGGTTATATTGTGTTCGCCTTTCACCCATCATCCTCATAGTTACCATAACCATACACGCAATAGTGGTCGCTAATGACCTAGAAATTGACGAGACTTTAAATAACAGCAAAAAATACGAGTTCATGGTAGGTTTTCTCGGGGTTGTCCCAATTCCCCTGTCAGTCAATTCATTCACCATTATCATTAGTGCAATCATCAACATAATTTCAAACACATATGGATCGAAATCATTCGTCCATAACAGGGATAGCTAAAAGGCTTATTAACTAGTAGAATTTAGAAGGAGAAGAAGAATAATTTAGAGGAGTTTTTAACCATCTGAAAAAATAAATCAATTGTTTGTATTATAACAAAAATAAAGAAATATTCATCTCATCATTACATGGAATTCCAGTAAATAAAAACAAAACTGAAATTTACATTCGTATGATTTTTAACTTATACTCAGAAGCTATTATCTCTTATGTATTGGGAGCAAGTAATAAAATATGTGAGCGTATTTATTTAAAAACAGTTATATCATTCTTTTCTGGAATACATTTAGGGAAGTATGATGGTGTGGACTATATTTTCACAAATTTCACTTTTGAAGTGTGTAATGGTTACGGTAATTGCGTTTCCATACATATTCAACTGATTCACGTCGATTATATCATTTCATTTAATCAACAGTAAATATTTCCATTTAGTTATTGATGTGAGTTTGAAATAACTTACTAATTTATGAAAAATTAAATCACCTTAAAGGGACACCTAATTTTCCAAATTTCTTCCCTTTATGTCCACACAAAAACACAAATTCAGTTACATTTCGTAATTAATTTCTGTATAGCAATGCCTCTTTGGTGTATAACCACATAAATAGCACCAATCATAGGCTATGTGGAAGCGGTACCATTTTTTTTATTCGCAACATTTAGCCCAAAAATGTGACAATAACTATCCCAATTTAAACGCATGATAATACTTTCTTAATGAAATACAAGTTTCCTCCTTGTGTTGTTCCCTAGATATTTGCGAGTGGAACGACTTTCCAGAAATAAATGTTTTAGGGAGCCTTTTTATATGTTTATCGTAAGATAGACGAGAATTACTGTTATTAAATGAAGATATTCAATGTCCTTCAGAATTTACCGCTTCACAAACCTTAAAAATCTTTCACGTCTCGGTGAGCAGATATCGCATGAAATCGAATTCACTTGACAATCAACAATATTAGTTCCTCTCATTGAACATTTTTTCAATCGCTAGAAATCACAAAGGAGCGTGTAAAGAAAATATTCATATGACTAATTTCAGGAAATTTACATCTACGTTTTACAGTTTCAACTGTAAATTTTCGTTATGAAATAATAATAATAATAATAAGAAGAAGAAGAAGAAAACTACTACTACTAATATTAATATTAATAATAATAATAATAATAATAATAATAATAATGATAATATAGTAATAATAAAGTTCTTAAACAAATGTTTTTCAGGCTCCCAACAAAATTTCTATTTACAGACTTGACTATGAATCACTATTAACCCGCTTAAAGGGACACATGACGGGAGAATGAGAGAGAGCGACATACCTTATTCGACATAACCGAAATTGGTGGAAAACAACGCCGAAAGCCAGACAGACAAAGTGCCATAGCTAGCCTACAATAAGAGTAGAATAACAGTAAGGCTGTGCATTTTTGTTCTAGCAATCAACAAAATAATAATGAGCGTCCCGGAAGGGAAAAATCGATCCCAAACAACAAAATGTTCCTTGTTTCTTCTTGTAATAGTTACGATTTTTAATTAATTAACTGATCGTTAAAACTCTACTAATGAAGTTGCAGCATTAAAAGATTTAAGAGCAACTAACTAACCTAAATATACAATTTAAACAGAAAATAATTTTTATGTTATTTGTAAATTTAACAACAGGCAAAAGGGAATACTGTCTTTCTGTATTCTATCTGATCTCCAAAGATCTTGTTCTTCAAACAAGTGAAATCGATGGACTCTTGTTTCAAGCTTTTGAAACGCCGTTCATATCGCCTTCACACTGATTTACTCCCCATCGTACGACACACAACATAAATCCCTCCTCCTACTCGTTCGTTTTACGACCTGTCCACGTTTACACTTTCTAGCGCAAGAACACGATGAAATACTTCCAACGGTAGAGAGGGGCCGACACCCACGCTAAAACACCAAACTAATTGTTCATCGTGTATCTCAAACGATGTCTCCTTAGGACTTTCCAGCCAAATTACGGAGTAATAATATTCGGAGAAAAAGTACATATACTAATATTATTTTAATATATCGAATGATACTGGATACTCACGTAAGCATGTTAAATTGTGCTCCCAGTACTTCTACTTCCTCTACTACGTTCTACTTGTCTCTAGAAACGTGTTTTATAATACAGTGCCTACAAGCAGAAGACGAGTACATAGCTTACAAGGACTTATTCATTACGATCACCGATGGCTTTTCACGACCTTTGAAAACACTGAACTTAAGTCTGCACTAAACGACAACAAAAACTCTTTCCCCTTTTCCATATGCTTCTTCTCTACGATATCCCATTTTATCAATTTAATGTCTCTCCCACCCTTTTCCGTTTCATACCACACAGACGACAACATCGGGGACCATCTTTTTCATGTTCTCCTCAGATAACGCAACCTTTTCGCCTTTCATCTTTCCTCTGAACGGCGATAACACTACTATGTACCTTCCTGTAACTGACTGCACACTATTCCTCGTTTTGCATCATGTCCATACTACCGTAACCCAACTCCGCAACACTTCAAAGAACTTGTACAATTGGTAAAGAATGGTGCACGATGCAGCGATTTCATTGCACTGCTCAAAAAACACGCCCGATAACTGGACTCCACAGGGTTGCTCAAATGCAAGAATTGGGGATAGACTGCGGCCTGCTGCAGTTGCCCGCTTTCCATTACACTAGAGCCGATCGCTTCGAGCGTCTCCCCTCCACTCTCTCACCACCGGACGACTCGACAACCAGCGAGCCGCACCGGTTGCCCGCAGGTAAGTGCTGGGCCAGAGCAAGTTCTGTCGAGAAGTCCCGATTTAAAACACAGTCAACCGATTTTCTTTCACGTTAATAACGGGCCAGTTCAGCGATTTTGTCTCTTACCTGCAGGAGAGGCAGTGTGGTTCTCTGGAATCTTGTTCTGGTCTGGGTCGAACGGCTGGTGCGGTGTGGCGACGGTGGCGAAGTTGCTCAGATCGTCGCGCTGAGTGGAGCCGTGCCAAGTCACCCAGCCCAGCACGGGGTTGCTCAGCAGGAGCAAGATGGCGTGTGTGTAGTTCATGGCGGCAATCATCATAGACATGTCACGTACGAAGCGTAAAGGAAGGGACTGGAACGGTGATCGAGGATTTTGAACGAACTACAGACGCACTGCCATAACCCGTGGACGCGTCTGTTTAAAGTCGCTGCTGCTGACAACACGACCTGAAACAAGAACAAAAGCATGGCGTTGGTGAAAAAGGAATTAGTGAAAGCTTCAATCAGGCACGTTTAGAATGACCCAACGAAATTCCACTTGTGGAAATGATTGAGAACAAGCTAGTGTGATAAGTCGCCAACGAAATCTGAAAAGTTCACGACGTGAAATCCAATTTCGAAAGCACTTTCACACGAAATGCTTACTTTTACAATTCCTTTATCCTTTCCCATTAACCTGCACTACCCCGCAGTGTGTGTGTATAATTTGAGAGTCGTTCCGTTTACAGTATTTAGCAAAACAAATTCGGAGACAAACGTGTGATCTGGTTTCATGGAATTCCGAAAATCGTCAATGAGCAGCGCCAATGTAGAGCACCGCTGATATAAGTACCTGAAGATTTCTTCCTAATTTTCTTCAGAATGTTGGATCCAAAATCCAGAGACTCGCTCGAAATTTCTCACTTATTTAAGTTGAAAAAGTATTCATTCACTTCAACACGTATTCACTAATGCAGATTAGAACCAAATTTGTTTCAGTTACAAAGGAGAATGTTAATACATTTTCATAATACTTTCAAAATTTATTTAAGTATCGATTTTGATCCATTAAATTCTTTACAAAGTTCAAGTGTCTTGCCTAATCATATTCACACATACCTTTCATTGTCACTCGCTGACGACAAATTCAAATTTCGCCTTAGCATTTTCGGTGTCTACACAACGGATTGAATTTTTTCGTGAGCATTCTGAGAACTAATGTCCTACGGAATTGTCGGTTAGTACGTCAATAAGGAGTGAAGAACGTGTAAAATCAACAAAAAATTGTTTCTATATACAGAGAACAATCTGTATTGAAAAGGAGTTTCATTTAAACAGATTTTACATTCGTTATAGAGTTTCTTCATGCAGAAATGTCGGGTGTAAAAATTAGCCTCACTAATTCTCACTCATCCACTTTTGAATGGAATTTTTTACTGGTATACCCTCGTGGTTTGTTGTCTCAACTTTTAATTTTCTTTGTTGTCTTTACATCTGTTCCAGTGAAATTTAATATTTTCAATTCAAAATTAGATCTGTTTCGGATAATTGACAGAAAAAAACATCGAAACTGTTGCATTCATTATTTTAACCTTACTTTAACAAGCTATTGAATATCTGAATATTTCTTAGAAGTGGCTCGATCAAACCTCTCTTGGCGACCTACGAGAGCTTATTTAGATGCAGATTAATAAACCACATCACCGTACGCCTAACGAAAGAAATAGAATTACATTTTTTCCACTACATTCCTTAGCTTTTGAATTTTCTGTTCACGAATCCACGACTAGAATTCACATCAATGTTCACTGCCAGGCATTCATTTTTATCATCAACGCATCATTGACTCACTTCTTATGTACAATAAGAGTGCATAAATATGTTTTATCATATTTGTATTCCATTGATATTTTCCTAATTCTCAAATATTCAAATAAAAGCAAAGTAACTTCAGGTAATAACATGTTCCATCTACAAATCTAACGATGTGTTTAGTACTTATAAAAATAAACCGTTCAGAAACGTTTTGGAAGTGAATAAATAAAAAAAGGGAGATACGGAAAGATACAGAGCCACTAAAATACCACATAATGGAACAGGGAACAAATTAACAAATGCGTGAAAGCTTGATCATACAACGTTCGGGAGTTCGGATGCCGGGGTCCTTAAAATTCCCATCTTCGCGCGCATCGTGAATATTAGGACGTTCGCGGTTTTTCGTTAATCGGCAACTTTCAAATCCTAACTTAAATTTTTAAAATCTCTTCCTTGTGCTCAATTCGAGGCTTTTAGAGAATTTATATTTCCAATACTTCAATGTATGGCACACACCTGAATGAAATCTCTTTCATCAAACTGTTTACATTTTAAAATATTCGTGTGTAATATTTAACTACAATAAAACCTGCATATCCTCGAAACCAAACAATTCTTTAATATTCAACCATGAAAGATTTTATGCGACCATATTTGGCTAAATATCTGAATTAATAATTTCGAATCATACGTAGAGCTTGATGGGCAACGAAGCAACCTCTGGACATGTGAGAGGTGTCAAACGTTTCGATAAATATCAAAAAATTCCTGAGACCCCATTTTTCACTCATTTGAAGAAGAACTTTTGCTTCTCCAAACCACTAGTTCGCACCAAGATACAACTGCAACCCACAAGTGCAAAATTCTGCCCAAATAAGATAATTAAGTATTCATCGAACACTAAGAAAAATAATCTGTCAGAAATTTCAGTGAATTATTGTGTTCACAGTTTTCCTTTTTGGATGTTAATAAATCATATCTCTGTGTACATAAAAATTTATTGCAGAATTAATTCTAAAGAACGCCATTGAATTTGAGAAGACGAAGTTCAAAGGACTCTAGATTTCGAGGGCTCATAGCCTAGGGACCAGTACTTTATATTTATACCTCCGGACGTTTTCTGATAATTCAAATGTTTGCAATGGCAAAACAATTTCGCGGAAAGTTAACTGGAGTTTTACCGATTTATGTAGTATCTTTCATTGCACCATCATTATTATCGACGTCACATTAATTCATTCATCTTGCTGATAAGAACTCAGGTTTGAGAAGGAATATAATAAAAAAGAATATGACAAGATGCGATGAATTATTGCTTTTTATATAATTTTAAATCTAAAATTCAAATAATAATAATAATAATAATAATAATAATAATAATAACACAAAATAAATTCGATTTTTATAAAATTCCGGTACTACCTGTTGTGATATTATTCTTGTAATTTAATGTAATATTGATGCGATTATATATATAATAATAAAATAAAAATAATTATTATTATAAAATCTATTAGTAAGAGCACTAAGTAAACAAAACAACAGAAGTCTGTAAATTAAGATGCAATGATGTAATACATCGCAACATAAAAAAGTAACAGACACAATTAGGAAGAAAAGATTGTTTTCTTTTGGACACGTATTCAGGATGGATGATAACAGGCTAAGAAAAAAATGTATCTTTGGAATAAGAAATCTACCATACCATCAGAAAGTTAAGAAAGAAATGGAAAGGAACAATATAAGAGAAGATGGAAAAACGAAGAGAGAGAGAGAGAGAGAGAGAGAGAGAGAGAGAGAGAGAGAGAGAGAGGCAGACAGACAGGGGGAGAGCGAGAGACAGATATTATAAAAACTAAATAGCAAAAAATGGAATGGCACCAAAGAAGGAAGTAGAGGAAAACTGGGGCCTTTTGGTCCGAGGAGAAAAAAGTGAAACATGGTGAGAAGATGAAGAGTACTGAAAAAGAGCAACTTAATAGAAGGGTTGAAATTCTTTCGTTGTCCATAGATCACCCTAACGAAAAACGAATATTACCTAAATAAATTTTCTCTATTTTAACACGTGATGATACGATCATAGATGGCATCAGGTAAGTTTGTGTGAAGTAGGGAGCTCCTGGCTGTAACTGTACACCTACTTCGTATGGACACTATCACTCACTACAATTTCTGAATGCACAGAAGAAAGAAATGTCCTTTATTTTTTTGTATTCCGGCCTCATGACAGCTAACTAGATATGTCATTACATGAGCTGGGAATATTCAGTACTAAAAAATCTCCTTTTTCAACAAATCTGAATACAAAGCACTTCAAAACAAACACATGAATTAATAATTGAAAAAATACTTTCGCAATTTTACTAAAATGCTATTGAAGTGTGAACGTACCATTTAAAAAGATTTAATCTGATAAAGTAGATACCAAAAAGCAATTTTACCAACTATAATTATTATACACTGACGAAAAAAAAGTACTGCAACACCGGGAAGGGAACGATCAATAACGTAGGCGATAAGAGTCGCTAGGGATTGAGGGTCGGAGAAGCCGTGATTAACATTGCACCGATGACTGACGCCCAGTGACGTAATGGCAGGGTGACGAATTGGCCCGGACGCGTCATCTGGTCCGCAACTTCGAAAGGCGCTACCCACTGCGATAGGGTCCACTCGGGACTTACGTTTGCCACGGCGTCCCACTCGTTCGTCCTTTCGGCGGGTGGTCCTTTCGGCGCATTGCTAACTACGTGGACTGTGATGCGGCGTCGGTGCTGCAGTGCTGGCAACGATGGGTAGACGAACCTTCCCATAGCTGTAGACCCTCGTTGGGGTGACCGCGGAGCACTAACGAACGTCAAGATTGACGCATCGCGAGGCCGGCGTTGTAACACCGTACGGCCACTCGCGTCGACATACAGGCTCGTGAGGCCCCCGCCGTGTCTCTTTGGGGGACCTTACTCTCTCCGATGTTCGTCAACTGCCCTGGACGGCCTGATGTTCGCCGCATTTGTCCTCGGTCGATCATCTGTGGGACACGATGAGCCAATGCCTGACCCGTGCTGCGACTCCCCCAACAACTCTGTCTGCTCTGCGTGAGACTGTACAAGTGGCGTGGAACAGTATTGTAGGACACTATTCGCCACATGTTCAACGGGCTGCTAGCCCGCATAAGGACTTGTCGTACTGCCCGTGGCGGGTACACACAGTATTGATGGGGTGTTTTCGGTTCATGGTTATCTTCGTTGTAGGACTTGCGATTATGCCTCTGTTCATGTAATCGCTTGTAATATTCTGTCAGTATGGTTGTACCAGTACTGAGGAATAAATTGTACAATGCAATACGGGTGTTGCAATCATTTTTCCGCCAGTGTAGTTAGTAATTGTGGTTTTATATACTTAACATTAATTATTAAAATTAATAAAACATTATACTTAGCAAATTTTCATATTTCATACTCTACTACATTACGTAAAAGCACAAATATGGGAACATAACAGTTTAGGAGCACAGTAAAACATGAGAACTTTAAGATGTCTTTTGTGTAAAGCAAACTGATAGAACCACTTAAGAAAAAAATATCTTACATTCACAACTACTCAACACTGTTTAAATACAGGAATACATGACCAATGCGTGCTATGCGAGCAATGTG